CCTGAGAAAATGAGTATCCAGAACTCTGTTTTATAGATGGTTACAGCCCTAGGTAAATTCTTCATTCAAATGCTGCTTCCTCTTGGGCAGGACTAGACTCCATGGTAGGCGGAACACCCACTTAGCTCACCTGTTGTCAGGAAACAGCTGTTGTGTCGGGTGATGCTACAAAATTACAAGCATAGCTATGAGAAGTTGACGAGGTCATTGCTCTGTAGGGAAGAGGGAAGCCACTGGTAGGAAATTCCACATACTGGTCCTTGGAGCCTATTAACCACATTTTCCCTGGGTTGTTGGCAAAAGGACATGCTGTCTGGGCAGAAGGGCCTCTCAAAGTGGGATAGTTAGATATTCTGGGGTGTCAGATAATGGGTTGAGCTTTTAAAATTTCAGGAAAACAACGGACAAAATAAGACCTAATCCTCTGATTTTAAGTGACAGAGAGGAGGACACATAAGTAATTGGCAGAACACTTCTGTGGGTTGTACTACCGCTGCAGGTGTTTAAAGAGGTGGGGGGCAGCTTGTGGCTCCAGTAAGGTTGATGAGGGATGTGACTGGGGTCAGTGCTGCTCAAGTCTGATTCTCAGACCATCTGCCATATGTGTGGCAAATGTTCTCACTTTTCAAGAGTCCAGCAGCACCTGGTTGGAATAGACTGAAATGTACCAGAAAGATAGAACAGTCAAAACACAGACTCCACCATTGCCCCACAATTACTAGGACATTGCAATTAGTGAGAATTAGTGTCTACATTACATGCAAAGCTGTGTTAACTCTTTCCATTAACTTCTGCCCACACAATTTCCTACTAATTCTGTTTCCCATTAATTTTGAAGCCCTAAACAACACTGTCTGAGATACAACATGCTCCTCCCCCACTTCTCTCTTTTTCCTTCTCTCTCCTCTGCCCCATCCCTCCCTCCTCATCCCCCTTGTCTTGGTTACTTTTCTCTCATTGCTGAGACAAAATACCTGACACCCAAAATGAAGGAAGGAAAGGTTTATTTAGCTCACAGTTTGTGGAGGTTTCAGGCTCCAAGGCAGAGGGGCACATGGCACAGCGCAACAGTTCATGGCAGCAGAACAGCAAAGCAGCCAGAGCAAATGGGAGGAATGGCGGCAAGCAGCCTCTTTCCCTCCCTTACATTGTAAACAGGCTACCCCCACCTAAGGGGCGTGTAGCTCTCACATAATCTCCATGCCCTCCTCTTCCACAGGCTCAGGATGTATACAAAGCAAGCACCCTGGCTCCCTGCTGAGTCACTTGGCCGAGCCTCTAGACTCCCCAGGTTGATGCAATGTATCAACCATAACACCCCTAAGCCACAATCACACTAGTTTCTAGTTTGTAAAACTATATAGTGTGTAAGGAATTTTATCTTATTTCTTTTTTATTACCATAAAGTTAATTGATGATAATATTATGATCATTAACTACCTCCTCCAGCTTTACCCACAGGGAAATGGAGACTTTGTCAGCCAGCTTTCCCATCAGTGGGACAAAATACCAGACACCTGCAAGGTAAAGGAGAAGGTTTTCTCTGCTCACAGTTTTGGTGGATTCAGTCCATGGATCGTCGGCTCCCAGCAGCACGGTGGAAGAAAGCTGTTCACTTCGTGGCAGCCGGGAACCAGAGAGAGAAGGGAGGAGCCAGGGACAAAAATATTCCCTTCCCGGTCACGCCTCCAGCGACCTGCCCTTTTGACCAGGCCACCTCCCAACACGATCTTTGGGGGAACATTTTAGATCTAAACCACGACGGCACAAGCAAATGGAATGATTTGCCCCAGATGTGATGGCCCCGAGTTTTCTAGCCCTAGTTCTTTCTCAGCCTCACTCTGAAGGGATGAGGCAGAGAGGATCTTCAAGTTCAGAAGGATTCATTTCTGCTGCTCTTTCTGCTCCCCAACCACTTTTGTCCGAAGGACGTTTTCCCAAGGAAATGCCAGTGGGTGCCATGATCTTTACCATTTAAAAAACGTTCAGATGTTTTACTGTTTCACAGGAGAGTTCAGTCCAAGTCATGAGGACTACTTAGGCCAGGAAACCCTTCCTATCCTTCCTTTTCCTCCTCATTTTCATCTCCAAATTTCTTCTTTATAATTGTTGCCTTCCTTGTCCTTCCTTCTGTCCTCCTGCACCCCCTTTCTCACTGTCCTTAGCATCATCTTCTGATAGCACACACCTCCATGGATGGGCACATGAATTACTATAAGTAACTCATCTTTGAGAAGCCCTCTCCTAGCTATATATATTTTTCTCTCATACTGCACTATTTAACAGAGTTGTTTCTAGATTGAAAAGCCCATACCAAAATTAACTGAGGAGCAATCATATTTTTATCTCAAAGTATCCACAGTCTTGTTTGACTACATTACTCTCTGGGCTAAAAATAAAATTTGTTTCTCTTCTTATAGGTACGTAATACTGCCTTCAGGCTACCTCTACTGCTGTTCACATAGAAACCAAAAAAAAAAGGAATGGTGACCCTGGGAGCTAATTTTTATTGTGAGAACCCTGCAGATGAAAGCTATATACTTTATCAAGTGGGCAAATAATGTACTGTATCTTGGACAAAAAGATAAAAGGAAGAAACAGTTACTGACTTTAAAATTCAGCTCACATCATTTTAGTGGACAACTATCCAAACATATCAAAATTTTGTAACAATGTTGGAAATAATCTACTGTGGATTAAGGAAAAGTAAAGGTGTAATACAAAATGGTATGTATTTGATGAAAATGGTGTAAGATATATCACAAGAGAGTGTATGTGTGTTTAATTGTATAAGACTGATGAGTTTTAATTTTCCTACCAGGTCTTCAGCAAACATGCAGGTTTGAAACCTATTCTTTAATATTTGTTGAGACCTGCACTGGTTCTATATAGTGTTCAAGTTTTGTAAACATTTTCTGTGTGCTTGAAAAGAACATGCATATTCTATTGGGTGTAAGTCTGTATATTAATTATTAGATCAAGTTTGTTAATTGTGTTCAAATCTTTTATAACTTTACTATATTTAATATAATACTTGTCATTAAGAAAGTAAATTGAATGCTTAGATTTTCCAAATACTGATTTAAAGTGATCAGGTATGGAATGTCAATGATCTTCCCATTGGTAATTCAAAGTTACCATTTGAAGATCAAACAATGATTATTGAGGAAAGACAGCACAAACATCCAAATACAAAAAATCTTTGTAACCTGTTGTTTTCAATTATTTGAAGAGTAGCCATTGGGCCTTCCTTTAGGGTAGTTCTGTTGGGTATGCTCAGAGGTTTTAGCTGGTGGTATACTAAATTCTCCAATTTCCAGGTATGTAGGTAACGCACTAAAAGTGTCTTAGCCATTTGCTGGACACCAGTTTGAGAGAAAAACATTTTTAACAGCTCAAACTGCCCTCCACCCCATATCCTTGCATACGTAGTGAGCTAGAGTAATCCTAGCCTAGGAACACACCTGTTTCCAAATATTTTATAAAGGACTTGTATCTAGAATGTATAAGTAACTCTTATAATGCACTAGTGAGATGACAACCCAAAGAAAAAAATGGGAAAAAGATTTGAATAGAAGGTGTAAGAATGACTGATGAGCTCATGAAAGGCATTCATTAGGCAAATGCAAATTGAAGCCATCATGTGCCTTTTCATACCCAGTATGACAGCAGTAAACAAAAGGACAACAAGGTCTGTCGAGGATGTGAAGAAGTTGGAACCCTCTACACTGCTGGTAGCAGGACAAAATGGTACAACCAGTCTGGGAAATAACTTAGCAATTTCCTTTTATATATGCTATATTTTATTTGTAATATAAGATATAACATAATTAACATAGTAATCAAAGATATTTATGGGGTACAGTGTGAAACTTTAATACTTGTGTACAAGTGTAATGATTAAATCAGAGTAATTGATGTATCTACCGCTTTGGTCATTTATCATTTGTATTGGGAACATTCAAGATCCTTTCTACTAGCTATTTTGAAATGTGTAATTGTGAATCATAGTTATTCTACTATGCTATAGAACATTAGAAGTTCATTTGGGCAGCTTCTTACATCTAAAAATAATTTACCGTATAACCCAGCAATTCCCCTCTAGAGTAAATACACAGAGATATGAAAATATACCAGTATGTCTACACAGAGACTTCCTGTGACTTTTCATAGCAATATTACTCATAATGGAGAAACAACCAAAATGTCCATCCACTGCTGAATGGATAAAGAACATTTGGTGCATTAACATGGTGAAGTATTATTTACCAATGAAAAGGATGAAGTTCCAGATTTATACTTTGAAAAATGTTGGACCCAAAATACTATATATTGTATAATTCCCTTTATATGAAGTGCTATTAAAAGCAAATCTACATAGAAACAAAACATATTAGAGCTTTGTAGAGCTGGAAGTAGGACTAATAGTTGATTACAATTGAACATGAAGGAAATGTTTAGTGTGATAGGAATACTTTAAAATTAGATTATGGTAGAGCTGGGCATAATGGTGCATGCCTATAAAGCCAACACTTGGAAGGCTGAGGCAGGAGGATTGCTGCTAGTTTGAGGCCAGCCTGGGCTACAAAGTGAGTTCAAGGCCAGCCTGACCTGCATAGTGAAACCCTGTCTCAAAAAGAAAAAAAAAAAAAAAAAAAAAAAATTAGATTATGGTAATGGCTACACAACTCTGTCAACTTACTAAAAATCATTGAATTTGAATGATTTTTAAATGAATGAAATGGGTAAAGTGAATGGGGAAATTTTAAGGAGTATAAAGTATACATCTTGATAAAGTTGTTTATAAGACCTCACCAGTGATCTAGAATAGTTCTAAATTTTATAGAAATTGTACTTCATATTCTGGGCCTAGTTGGCCAGCATTCCATTCAAAACCTGTTCAAAGGACAGCAGAACTTAAGTGTGCCTCAAAATACTCGAGATGAACATCTCAGGCTTTACTATCCAGTGTGCTGTCTATTTCAGGAGGAAAGGCCCGAGTTCAGTGCCGCGAACCTTGCTGGCTGCCTGCCAAGGAGAGAGGCTGGGGTGAGCTTTGCCTGGGAGTGACACTCCTTGTCACTGATTAACCAGCTCCACAGGAAGGTTGCTCTGCCAGCCTGCTTCTCTGCCTGGAGAGAGATATCCGGTCAAGCTTTGGTAGAAAAAATGTCCACTCGCTACCACCAGGCTGCTAGTGACAGCTACCTGGAACTTCTGAAAGAGGCTACCACGCGAGACCTGAATCTTTCTGATGAGGATGGCATGACCCCCACTCTGCTCGCCGCCTACCATGGCAACCTGCAAGCCCTGGAAATAATCTGCAGCCGGGGGTAAGTTGAACCTGCTGGTTCCTGTTAGAGGCGGCATTGATGTGGGAGTTCACAGGCAGCAGTGAGGCAGGGAAGGCTGTGCAGACACTTTGCCCTCTTCATAAACTGTCTGCATGTTTGGCTTTTAGGAGAAAGATAAATGTGTGCTAGAGGCGCTTTCTCTTAGAGAACTGGCACCGTGAGAGTGGCTCATCCCTAACCCACACAGAGAGAAGAGGCCCTTTATTCTAAGGCATTGTTATCTCTCTTGGCTAGGGAAGAATATTTTAATTCCATGTGCTTAAAAGTCTTGCCCATGAAGTTTAAGTACTTGACTCTTCAAAGTTTTTGCCCTTCCTTAGGACAAATTATGGGTTTTCACTTTTCCATCTACACTATTAAAATTCTGTAGTCTTTTATTAGGATTCAAGTCCGCAATTCTTGATTAGAATGGTTGGCTGTCCAAGCTACAGAAGGAACCTCCAGCGCTTCTTAACACCTTTTCCTGTCGGTCAGCACTCGCGTAATCCCACACACAGCCCACGCCCTCCCTGGCTTTTAAGACAGTGCTGGACAGCTTTCTCCTGCCTGCTCTGGCTGTTACAGGTGGGCTGGGGTGCGGAAAACCGTGACTCAAGTAAGAAAACGTGAATGAGTGAGCCAAGTGAATTCAAGTCAGACTCATCTAGTGTCTGATATATCACAGTCCCTCCTTCGTCTTCTTCTTTGCTAGCCACTGGCGACACTGATCAACAACCTGTCATGGCAGTCAGATTTGAGAGGGGAAAATAAGCTATCTAATACATTCTATAAATGAGAAGTCGAGGGCACTAAATAAATAGCACAGACGCTGTCCCGGCCTCAGGGTGAGAGGAGGCTTTTCCTGAGGAGAAAGTAGTTAAGTTGGGATCGGTAGGATGGCATCGAAACAGTGAGGAGTGGACCAGGAAAGGTGGAAGGAAGCAAGTTTCCTCTAAGAGTGCGCGCCGTGCACTCTAGGCTCTGAAGAAGCTGCGTGTGGGAGGACATGGCTTGAACAGGGACAGGACGAGAACAAGCAGTGAAGCCGCATCACAGAGAGCCTTGTCAGCTCCGTAGGGAGTTGAGCTTTACCTTAATGGCGGGGAAGCCGTTCCGGTGTTTATCCAGGAGAACCTCAGGTAGGCTCACATTTACAAAAGCAGTAAAACTTGTCTCAGACGCATGCTTGTAACCCAATACTATATATCAAAGCAAATTTTCCTGTAAGATACAGTGGAAACTCCGATGATTAATTCCACATCCCCAAAATGTTCATATAAAATGATTACAATACTGTAGTATAATACAAAACAATAAAGAAAATACAAAATATAAAGAAAAATAAACCAATTAACCTGCAGTTACCTTTGAAAACCTGGTGTGAGGGAGACAAGAGAGAGGAGGGTCACTGTGTAGCACGACTTTCACTGTCACTAGTGCAATCGTTGCTGTCTGTTGGGTCAATGGAATCTCTTTACTTTTCGTGCAGTTTTAACAAGGAACCTATCCAATGACTCTTGCTTTTGCCTCCTTTTGAGGATGTCATGGAAATGTGACACTGCCTTGTCCTTAAGCATATTCATCACTCTCTGCCGTCGCCCTCCTTGAGGGGTGTTTTTCTACAAAATTTTGCACTGTTTCCCACATTTAACACATCTCTCTAATCTCATCTGTAGTGAAAGATTCTGCTTTTTTTGTCCTTCTCCTTCGCAGATGAGATCTCTTCCATAACTTCTTACTGTCGGGTGACAATCACCCTCAATCCCACAGAGAGAAGTGGGGAGAGAGAGGTAGAGAGAGAGAAGCTGGTCTTGAACTTGCTTATGTAGCCCAGGCTAGCCTTGAACTCACAGCAATCCTCCTGTCTCAGCCTCTTGAGATTATAGGCATGTGCCACCTCCCTGGGCTTCATTTATTATTTTAAAGACTTTTATTTGTGTACAATTTATTTTGATTTAAGATCTAAGGTTATGATCTAACTGTGTGTTCTCCACATTTTTAATGGTTTATTCCAACACAGTTTGTTATGTAGTCAATTTTTTCTCCACTAACTTGACAGTATAGCATAATTGCTCATGTAATATCAAAATCTAGCCCATTTATTCATATTGATTAAACACTGGATATGGACCCAAAAATTCTTCTAACAATTCATTTTCTAGTCTTTCTCAACTCCTATTTTCCCACTGATTCTCCTACATCTCAGATTTTATTTCCTTATCCTAAAATCATTAAGATCTGCTGTGTTGAGTTTGCCTGGTAAAGGCTAAAAACAGTCTTGTGAGAGTTTCCAGAAGTCATCTCCCATCTTGACCAGAGACAATCTTTAATTGCTAAGGCGGTTTAATGGGGTTAAAGGGGAATACAAAATTAAATTTTGAATTTAGCTAAATAGTCATTGAAGCGCAAGGTCGTGAGTTCGGTTCCCGGTACTGGAGAAAAACCAAAATAAATAAATAAATAAATAGTCATTGAAGTTCATTCTAGCCTGATAATTTAAGTGTTTATTTCTCATTACCCAAATGAAACAACAGATTCTATGGGGACCACTGATATCAAATTTCTAGCTTTCTTAGAAAGCTGTTTTTCTTTCTTTCTTTTTTTAAATTTAAAGATGAAAAACACTGAATACATGTATTGTCCTACACTGGTGTGTTAGTCATATTTCTGGTACTGGGACAAAATCACAGGCATGCACAATTTAAAGGAAGAATTTATTAAAATGTTTTCATTGATATAATTTGCAATGCGTAAGGATTACGTTCAGTGTGGGCTTTGACACACACATGCACACATACACACACACATATTGTCTCTTGGTCATTTTTATTCTCCCTCCCCCACCCCATGCTCCTCTCTCCCTTCTTCCCCATCTCTACAGAGTCTAGCTCCCTGCATTTTAGAAGAATATGGATCTTTATTTATTTTGCTCTTTACAGTATTTATGGAAGGGCTTATTCTGGCACAGTTTCAGAGGTTGGGGCCGTAGAGGGCTGGCTCCAAGGCAGAGCCAGCGAGGCAGGAGTACATGCACACGCCCCTCTGTTCGTTCAGCTGTTGAGGGATGCAGGTTGGGTGCAGAGTGATTTGATCAGTTGTCTCTTTATGGCATTTAATTTGAATCCAGTCTTTTAACTGATACGTAAAGCTGGGACGAACATCCTTGTTCACAGTCTTTGCTCAAATGTCTGACATTTTCTTAGGATAAATACCTGAAACTAGAATAGTTCATTTAAAAAGGTGCTATGTTTTGAAGGTTCTTGGTACGTAGTGTGCTAGGAAAGTTTTGCTTCTTCAACCAGAGTTCTTTCCTCACACTTCTACTAAAACCAAGTATTAATATTTTAAACCATTGCCAATCTGTTAGGCAAAAGAAAATGGTAATGCATGCTTTGACTCACATTTCTTTGATTATTAGCAAGTCCTAATAATTCTTTTTTATGTAGAAAAGCATTTTTGAAAGAATTGCTTTTTTCTGGGAACATCTTCACAAAAAAATCAAATCAAATTCAAAAGGAAAATTGCAATGGAACAGATGCTTAGAGCAATGTAATTTAAGCAAATGGCCTCGTTAGTGACAATAATACCAGGCCAGCTTTAAAAATTATTGCGCAAAATGCTCTGACCTACCAAAAATGAAAGTATAAATTAGCTTTAAGTCTCCTTAGTTTCTCTTTTGGGGAAAAAGCAATAGGAAAAAATCAACAGTAGCCTGAATTCAGCTCAAGGAAACCATGGAGTACCCACGTGGGACCTGGATCATCAAACGAAGGGTCCAGCTTGCGAGTACCTCGGCGGATGTATGAAATGGTGCCATCAAGAAATGGGAAGGGGAGAAGGACTGAATTTAGGAAGACTCCACGAAGCTTGTCAGCAGGAAATATTTTTAAGTTTTACATCAGTTTGCAAGTTGTCTTTAAATAGAATTCGTACAAGTAGAAATAGCTTACTGCGCTGGGAAACTTCACGAACTATCTTACTGACAGTTTCATGTATGAATTTGGATGTTTGCATTTGAAATTTTCTTTAAAGAAAACCTACCTTTTTGTTCATCTTAGGTTGTCTTCCTGTCCTTACTCCCATCTTAAAAACATCATTTAAATGGGAATATTCTAATATGTTAGGGCTTTATGCACATTGATTTAATCTAGACTTCTCAGTACCCTGTCATTCCCCCTACATTCCTCCCAGTAATTGCTTTTTTAGCTCATCCAATGCAACGATAATTTCAGGCAAATTTAATCAGCATGTTTTTGTTTATGTCTATAGTAACGTCTTGGATGTTTTACAATCCTTCTTTGAAGTCAGTACTTAAGGAGTCATTTGAATATGGTATTTGGTTAAAATAAATAAAAATGTGTTTTGGCGTGAAGTACAGTACTGTGCTCCCCGAAGAGGCACAACCATGCCAAGGTTGAAAGAAGTCTCCTTTGATTCAGAACAATTAAATCAGGCTGGCTGACTAGAGCCTTCTTGGAGGCAGTGCCATAAACTGTGTTATTCGATATTTGCTTTCCTTAGATTCAGTTTCACTTTTCCTTCCTTCTGTTTCTCACATCTCACTCTTTCCCCCAACGCTGTGCTCTGGTCACACGGATGTGTACTTTGCGTTCCCCAAGTATGTCACGTAATGTCACCCATGCGTGTATCTGTTCAGCTGTTCTCTCTGAAAAAGGAAGTTGCCGATGTATGGGCTGGACCTAGTCCGCAATGTGTTTTATTTGGACTTCACCATGTTTTTCTTTTAAATTTGAGTCACTGCTTTAAAAAATTCCATGAAATTCTGGATTTCCAGCTTCATTTCAAATAGAGGCTCTAGAAATATTGTTCCTACTTTTATTCAGCAGAGGATCAGGCACAACTGAGCCTCCGCTGCCCTTTCCAGAAGGAGCACACACTTAACCTTGTTCCTGTTGAAGGAGAACACCTGGCCCCATTCAGTCACTTCCACTTTCCTGCGTGACTTCTTCGGGTTGGTTTAAGATTTCTCTGAGGAGATACAGATGATGAAAGCGAGAAAAACGTTTTCTAATTATTTAATTAGGAAGACGACATAAGTATTTCACAAATTAAGTAAAATTGTAAGTGCTTTAAACCCACAGGAGCTGGAAATTCACCAGGTGAGTATGAGCAAAAACAAATACCTGGAATGAAGGATTATGTGTTTAAAGACAAGGGATATAATAACAAGTAATGTTTATTGAATGCTCACAGTATGCCGAGCACTTTTCTATATACTGACTTATTTAATTCACATGGCAATTCTGGTTACGAATAGGGTTGGGTTTTTTGTGATTGTTGTTTGTTTTTTGCTTTCGGTACTTGAGACTGAACCCAGGTCCTTCACAATGAACTATATCCCCAACCATTTTTTAATTTTTATTTTTAGACAAGTTCTTGCTAAATTGCTATATTTCCCAGGCCAGGCTTGAGCTTGCAGTCATCCTGCCTCAGCCTCCCAAATAACTGGAATTATTGGCATGTATTTTTCTCAATTTAAAATGAAGAAAGGAAGTCGTAGAAAAGTGAAGCTAGAGGACCTGTATCTGGAAAGATGGAAAAACTGAAATGTTTTAATATAAGATTATATTGTTAGACTTACAGACAGGCTTGATCCAAAGTATGCTGCCTGTTACCCTCGGTCAAATCAGTGAAGCTCTCTGAATCTTACTTCTGCCCTAATGATTCTTATCTTTGTTCTCTAGGGGGCAGATTGTGATGCCCGGTGGTGGACAGTGAACGCAAAAATGCTTTGGGACTGAAAGGCAGGAAGCAGCCAGGAGTTCCCGGAGTTACTAGTCTGATTCATTAAATTGTGTTTCTCTGGTCCACTGGGTTACTCTAACCAGGGCAGCTCTTCCCAGCCTGCGCTGGGCCTGTGAATCCCCTTGGTGTCTTGTGAAACTCTAGACTCTGCCTCAGTAAGTCTGTGCTGCAGTCCAGATTTCTGCATTTCCGACACAATCACAGGTGCTGCTGAGGCTGCTGGCCTGGGAACCAAACTCTGAGTAACAAGAAAATACTCAAAGTGGAAAGGTTACACCGCGTTATCAGATCAGCCGCAGGACTCTGGATCTTCTCTTCTGTTAGTGCCTTCTGCTCACCAGCAGTGCTAACCAGGACTTCTCAGGCTTTCTGTCCTGTCTTTGCTGGGGCCTCCCGCAGGGAGCTGGTAGCCTTGGGCAGGATTCTCGTAGGCATTCATTCATTTCCACTAATGAATGGATTTACTGTGCTCCACGCCCGTTTCGGTGCCAGGTGTTATGTCTGTGGCTTCAGTACTACCATCATGTCCTTTTTCCACTTTAGTTAAACTCTTGTAGAATTACTCCTTTATATGGTACTGGAAGTAAGCTGACAGACAAATAGAGGGTTTTCTACCCTTTGTGTGAATAATGGTTGCAGCAGACACTATTTACTACCTACTCAACACCAATTTCTCTCTTTTTTCTTGTTGATGGGACTTGTCTTTCTCCCCCACCTCTTTCTCTCTCTCTCTTTCTTTCTTTCTTTCGGTCAGTTGTTTATCTTCCCACATGTGACTCAGAGAAGGGTAGCAGTGTTGTGCTAGAATCAGCTCTTACTAGCTCCTGAGAAGTTATTGCTAAATTTTCAGGAAGTTTGAGAATCAGTTAAACAACAATTATTAACACAAAAGTATATAAATCTACAACTTAATAAATCATATTTAAAAGGTAGTACTCAGCTGTGTGTGGTGATACATCTCTATAATCTCAACACTGGGAGGCTGAGGCAGGAGGACAGAGAGTTTAAGGCCAGCTTAGCAAGCTTAATGCCAGTCTGGGCTATGTAGGGAAACCCTGTCTCAAAAAAAAAAAAAAAATTAATACTAAAAATGCATTAGTTCCTAATGATTTTACTAAATTTCACTATTGTCTTTGCTCTTACGGTTATGCTTACCCGTTATACGTGTGTGATTTATAACAGCATGCCTCTGCACATCTCTTCCAAACTCTCTGTCCAAGGGTGTCACATTGGTAACTTGAGATCTATCACAATGAGTGTATTTACAGCACAGAAACTGGCACATTCTGTAAATCAGGAATTAGTTTTCTTCCTGAAGGAGCCAGTTCCTAAACATTTGCCAGTGTACTCTTGGGTATTCCTATTCCTAGATGCAAGGAAAAATCAGACATAGTACTCTGCTTCCTTCCCATAAGCCTGTGGGCCAATTCTGGCCAAAGAGAGATGAAATTTGTCCTGCTAGAGAGTTCCTTGGAAAGATTTCCTTACTTCTGAAAAGGAGACATAGGGTAGCGATTTTTTTTCTATGTCCAGCCATCTGGTGTCTGGCTGTGATATATCTAGGTTTACAGCAGCTATCATATGTCAACATCACGGCAGGATAAACATGTTGCACTAACATGCATTTTGTTTACTTTTTAAAATTTTTCTACTTCTTGGACTTTGTGTTCGGAGGAAAACAGTTCATATGCCTCTTTCGTATGTTTTCTTCTAGAGGGGACCCCAACAGATGTGATATCTGGGGAAACACTCCTCTGCACTATGCCGCCTCCAATGGCCATGCCCACTGTGTCACATTCCTGATCAATTTTGGTGCCAACATCTTTGCCCTGGACAATGACTTGAAGTCTCCCCTGGATGCCGCTGCCAGCAGGGAGCAGAGCGAATGTGTTGCCCTCTTAGATAAGGCTGCCACTACCCAGAATGTTGCAAACCCCAAGAAGGTCACCAGGCTCAAAGAGCAGGCTCAGAAGAATGCCAGGAGGCAAATCAAAGAATGTGAAAAGCTCCAGGAGAAGCATCAAAACAAAATGGCCCGAGCCTACAGCAAGGAGGAGTCTGGGACTCTGTCTTCTTTCAAGGGCACCTTCTCCAGGTCATCCGTCTCAAGTGCTTCTGCTTCCAGTACATTCGGATCCCTCTCTAAGGGCATTAAAGACACCTTCAAGATGAAGTTCAAGAAAAACAAAGATACAGCAGAGCAGACGGGGAAGGAAGGCAGAAGTGGGCAGAGGAATGTGATGGAAGTGTTCAGAGAGGAGGAAGCAGAGTCATCAGGAGACTTCAAGGAGAAGCTCACATTCTCAGCAGAGGAAGACGGCGATGTGCAGCATGAATCCATTCTCAACCGCCCGGGTCTAGGAAATATTATTTTTAGGAGGAACAGATTGCTGAGCTCTGAAGATCTCTCAGACAGCAAGAGAGAGCTGGGGTTTAAGATGCCCAGTGAGCTGCTCCAACGACAAGCAACAGCAGAGGCTGAGGAAGCTGAGGCTGATGAGGGAGGGGAAGGTGGCCTTGTAGGTGACCTGCCCTGGGATGAGGACGAGGTGGAGTGGGAGGAAGACGTGGTGGATGCCACTCCCCTGGAAGTGTTCTTGCAGTCCCTGCACCTGGAGGAGTTCCTTCCCATTTTCACGCGAGAGCAGATTGATCTGGAAGCTCTGTTGCTTTGCTCTGATGAGGACCTTCAGAATATCCACATGCAGCTGGGTCCCAGGAAGAAAGTTCTTAATGCCATCAACAAAAGGAAGCAAGTGCTGCATCAGCCTGGGCAGCTGGTGGACACCAGCCTCTGAAGGACAGTGCTGGGTCAACGGGACGAGCCTGCAGCAGCAGGAGATGCTGTGGCCGATGGGAAGCACTCCAGGCTGCACTCCAGGCCATACCCACCCAACGCCAGACACGGGGAGCTCATTCTAGGGCTTTGGAGATGCCCATCTAAGAAAAGGCCCAGACTCTACTCTTGGAAATACCTAGGCCTACCCAAATTAACCACCAGTGAGAAACTCAAGGGGATCCTGGATTAAGCACATGGCATTTCTTTTCAATTATCATTTTGGTATTTTTGAATAAAGAGTCAAATGTACGATAGAAAAGAGAAAGAAATTTTCTTTACTTTTCTAACTTTTGGATGTGAAATGATAATTTCTCATCACACTACCCTACTTTTTGATCCATATAGCCTGGGAATTCTAAATCTAGTTCTTTCCTTAGCTCTATAACTTTCCTTGTCATTGGACATCAAAGTTCTTCATTGACCTGAGGCTTGATGACCAACTTATACGCACCTAATCCTTACATGGATGCCTACATATTTACAAGGGAGAGTGAAGAAAGAAAGAATAGTGCGCCCTTGGTAGACTGAATTGTGTCCCCCTTAAAACTTGTATGTTGTAGCTCTAAGATCCAAACTGTTTTCGGATATAGGTTCATTGAAGGCTAAATGGTGTCATAGATTGGCATCCTCCCATATGACTGATGTCCTCACAAGAAAAGGACGATCTATAAAAGATGTGACCACACACAGAAAAAAGATCACATAAGGACACAGCAAAAGAGTGCTATCTGCAGCCCAAGGAACGAGATCTCAGGAGAAACGGAACCTGCCAACATCTTGATTTTGGACTTTCCGCTGCCAGAGGTGTGAAAAAATACATTTCTGTTGTGTAAGTCACTGTCTACGATGTTTTGTTGTGTCAGCCTGAGCTGACTAAACAGTGCATAAGCAAGAGTGTGGTAAGGGAGAGAAAGAAGGATACAGAAAAAGAAAAATATGACCTATCTGATGACTTTTCTAAGTGTCTCCTGAAACTTTAAAAGAAAAAAATTAATTGTTGGGAAGATTTGCTTGTAAAACTAAATTCTACATCTTTGTGTTTATATGTTTCTTGTATACTGTCGTCTATTACCATCGCTACAAATCCTAATATGTGAAGGTTCATGATATAAATTGGCAAAATTGCTGTTGAAATTTTTTGAAAAGTAGCCCCAAATGCAAACTGAAGCCCTACTTAACAGCTAAGTTTCATTGGCTTTTTTTTTTCTGTCTTTCTGAGACAGGGTCTTGCTATCACCTGGCCTTGAGCTCACTTTGTAGCCTAGGCTGGCCTTGAACTCACAATGATCCTCCTGCCTCAGCCTCCCAAGTGCTGGGATAACAGGCATGCACCACGACGTCTGACTTTTCTCACTGGATTTTTGTAGCCAGAATTACATCAAGTAGAGTCTACCACTGATTATGTGTAATATATAGAAATAGCTGTTTATTTGCAGCAAAACTTGTAATTCACATCCACTTAGGTTACACCTAGAGGCATCATGAAGGATATACTCTTCAGATGATACTACTCAAATCTAATGAACAATTGGCTCATTCTTTGATGGATGCGTTTAGGAAGTTTGTTGGTCATTAAATAAATATATTGCACTAGGGGACAATTATGTTTACAAATGTTGTTTTGTTCAGGAATGAGCTGAAGTTATATTATCGTCAATAACATGCTTGAAAGCTGTTGGTGTACAGATGACACTCAAAAATATTCATAGTCTAAGGCTGCCTCTATTATATGTCATTATTGTAGATGCTAGGATCCTCTCTTCACGAATTTCCCAGAATCTCCCTGAGGTGCTATTTCTACTTCCAGACCAAACTTACATAATAAAGAAATCAGCTGGGTTGGGAGAAATGAGCCTCAACATATGACTCTCACCACTTTTGGAGGGAGAGACTGAGCACCATTTTTGTGCTCTTCCTAGGGGCTCGAAGTCTCCTACTGTTTAGAGAATTAATAAGTGAGGGGCTCTCCCAACTTCTTAGCACTGAAGATATAACCGCTTCACCATGCAGCATTGTTATAAAGAAGGGTTATACCATACTTTAAAAGGTTATAAATTGTCCTGGAATTCCAGATCTTTCAACCTAAGCCCCCTCAAGGGGTCTAAGAGAAAACCCTAGGGCAATAAAGAGGCAAAGACATTATGGGCCAGTATAAGTTTCAAATACTCACTGATCTCAGACCTCCATCCCTTAAACTAGATGCTCCCAGAGGCTCAGTCCAGTGGTATGTGATCCTCGCCCGAACACCTGCTTTTTCCTCTGCTGCTTAGCCTGATATAAAAGTTAACAAGCGAGACAAACCACCAGGAACATTTCACCGAAGAGAAGAGATTGAGAAGACACAGGGAGGTAAACGGTGCTTATACTTCAGGCCGTCATGTAAATACAGGTCAGTTACACACTCATGACCCTACCCGAGTCACAAGCCAGATGGTTTGTTTGGGCTCTAGATCCAAAGCCCAAGTCTTAGCTGACATCTCCCCTCAAATGTTCCAAACCCAGTGTGCCCAGAATTAAACACATTTTCTCCCAAATCAAGTTCTTAACATGAGTAGTTTTGCCCATGGACACCTGGCAGTGTCTGGAGATGTTTTTGATTGTGGCAAGTTGGGTGGGAGAGCTCCCGATGTCAGGTGAATAGAAACGATGCACGTTAAACGTCGTACGATGTGTACGGCAGGCCTCCACAACAATGACTCCTCCACACCGAAGGCTGGCAGTGCTGAGGCTGAACACCACCAAACCAGGTCAAAGTCTCTGCTTTTGACGAAAGGGAAGTATAACCCAACACTTCTTTTCTTTACCTTCATCACCCAACTCCTTCTTATGTCCTAAACCTAAATTCTCTTCTAGGTCTGCAAGACCACTGCTTATTTCATCCCCCCACTTCGCTCACTGAACTCAGAGTCTCCTGTCTATCTCTAACTTGTTCTCTGTAGTGCTGACTGAGTGATCTTTCTAATATGCAAACCCTCTGTTGGCATTTTCTGCCTCCTCATTGCTTTTTGGGCTCTTGCCATCACACATAAAACTCTTAGTAAAAAAGAATAGGGCTCTACTCTATTTTCATTTTCTATTCTATTTTCTACCCATAATCCACCTGGCAGGGCCTCTTTACACTACATGAAAATGAGAGCCTTCGGTCTCATTTCTGACCTTTCCTTTGTCCCCTCATTATAACCACACCAAGGTTTTTTTTTAGCTTCCAGACTATCATGCCTCTCTTATACCTGAGCTTTATTCACCGCCAGCCCTCTCCCTGGAAAACCCTTTCTACATGCAGCCAGCCCCACGGAGATTCACCTTCTCTCTTAACCCTAGATTGGTTGGTTCTCACCCTATCTTGCAGACTGCTTTCCGTTTGTCCCTCTGGAACTTTTCTCTGCTGTGTTCCATCCCGCTCTTTCCAGGTGGGTGTCCTCTGTAGGATGCAGAGTTCTTTTGCTCTGGGACTTCTGCTTGGGTTTAGCCAGTGGGAGGTACCAATAGGAGACCAGGAGGTGAAAGATGCGTTTCACTTTCACTTTCCAGGTGGGTGACCTCTGCCAGACTGGAGCTGTGGGCTTAGATTAAGGAAGCTACTGCCCTGCATGGAGGAAATAGATGAATAAATACCCCAAGCTGGCAGCCCTCAGCTGCTGAATTCCATCGATTGCGTCTTCAAGTTATCAGCGGTAGCAGCTTCCTGCTATTGTCAGTCCTCGGGGACATCTTGCTAAACAGACCTCATTAACCTTTCACTCCTCCCTGTCCAGCGTGGAGTGTATTTACTGCTGGGGCTCTGTACCATCTGTTCCTGTAATACCCAGAGTACTGCACTGTGATTATTTTCTCTCACAGGTCTTCTGGACTGTGTGTTCTTTAGAGGGTGAGGGCGATTTGTGTTCTCTTGTCTTAGTAGCCTCGTCTAGAGTAACTGTAGGGGCTCTTGAGGGAAGAACGAAAGAAGAAATACATGAATAAATACCGTGGTGCCTAGGTTCAGAAACTTAATTTGTTTTATGATTTTGGAAAAGATGGCCATGTTTGTTTGTGTGGGAAAGGTGGTTGTGTTTGTTACCCAATGCAGAATGTGCAAGCAAAAACAGAAATCTGCCAAATGTCTGTTTGTGAACCAAATTGTTTGCAACCAAAAGCATTTGTGAACCAAGGCACCACTGTATTGCATCAGCATACACACTTCTCTTATGTCCCATAGGACTATGGCCATTAAGATCACCAGGAAGATTCCACAGTCACTTGAGATGTGCAGAACTAGGTCACGTGGGTATTTTAGTTCAATACGAAGGTTCCTGTCCAGGCAGTGCGGTAAACAGGCTTAACTTCTGCCTAAGCTACCTGCAGTGTAAAGAGGCCCTGCCAGGTGGATTATGGGTAGAAAAGCAAAGTTAGATAATGCACTTTGCTTTTCTGTTACCTGATAACCAGCCTTGGGGTTGACGTTGGCACTGGATCAGACAGGCTCTTTGGCAGAACATGGGCAAACTAGTGACTCAGGGGTCCTGGGGAAAAGCATCTCTGCAACTCTTTCCACATCCTTATACTGACATTGGAGTAGATGATTCCTAGTGGTCCTTTTAACACTGATCCTCGAGCAGACACATAGACTGAGCCTTCTACATATCCAGGCATCCTTTATCAGATAGTTTGATTCCACATTTGACATCATGGGTGGGCGCGTGTCCCTTATCCCTGAACAAGGGTTTCATGTCTCCCTGGAAAATGCAGTGATCTAGGGACAGGTACACAACATAAGCCTGGACAAAGGCGGCGTTCTCTATCTTTCAGCTGTGATATTAGGCTCAGGATGAGCACATGACCTTCTAGATGGTCCAGGGGGCTCAGTCCTGGGACTTCTAACTGTGAAAGAGGAAATGTTTATTTATGCTGGGGTTGATAAAGAGGACAAAGTATAATTCAAGAGCTACTGGCAACTGTCCTAGCACCAGTAGGAAATGTGCTGAATAACGGAGCCAGCGCCGAAGAAAACAGAGTAAGATTGGCTTCTAAAGACACTTCGGAGCCTCCGAAAGTGGTTACCCGAAGGGGTGAAGCCAGAGAGGTGGAAAGCAGACTAGTGGATTCCAGGGCCTGGGGGAGGGGAAGCAGGCAGCGACCTAACCGGGTACCACATCTTTTGGAGTGATAAAATGTTTTGGGATTAGACACAGTGATGGTCCCACAACTCTGAGATTATGCCAAAACCACTCCATTTTACACTGTAGAAATTGGGAGTTATATTTCAATTTTAAAAAGCAGAAACACTTTTCATTATATTCTTGGAGGTCTTTTAGGGGAGTGAATGAAAACACTTTTTTTTAAAGTACTGGAGGGCTGGGGATTTAGCTCAGCGGCAAAGCGCCTGCCTGGCAAGCGCAAGGTCGTGAGTTCGGTTCCCGGTACCGGAGAAAAACCAAAAAAAAAAAAAAAAGAAAAAAAAAATTAAAGTACTGGAGACTGAACAAGGGCCTTCCCACTAAACTACAACACCATCATTTTTTTATTTTTAAATTTGAGTCAGGGTCTTCCCAAGTTGCTAGGTTTGCGCAGGCAAGCTATCCCTCTGCCTCAGCCTCCTAGAGTGCGGGGATTACAGGCCTGTGTCACCACGCCAGCTGAATGGAAGCGCTTCACTTCCCTCACTTCCTTGCCACAAGGAATAGAAGTTACCGCAGCAAATACACAGAATCGGAAAAGCTTTATTTCAGGGAAATCCAAAGTTAGTGGAACACAAAGAAAGGGAGTGCTATTATGACTAGTTTAACAGAAGAAATGGTTATCGAGTTTTGGGTTTCACCTGCACACATGAACTCAGTACTTAAAGTACGACATGATAAGCACAGAATTACAGTTCCCTGGGGCCTGGGCGCTCTCATTTAATCTGGAAAGTATGAGATAACTAACGGTAACATCCTTTGAGCCGTAGCGTCCGTCTCAACACAGAGCTTCTTTACTTCATTTACCAGACGACCAGGAGTCATAGATTAGTTTGGCTGCAACCATGTCTTCCACCGCCATCCCTGGGAAGGACAGAAATTTGGTTCACCTTTCGTCAGAGCAAATTTTTGCTGAAGCACACCAGGCCCTGTGGCTGACAGTCCTTGGATACACTGTACATACTGCTAATGCCTCTCGGGAAACTAGGGACTGGTACCTAAAGGTAAGATTAGGCCTTGGTTGTTTGCACAGGGCAGATTAAAACACGGAATATGATACTAAGCAAGAAATGCCCAAAAGTTATGCCTTTTAAGATCTCGTTTAGGCGGCCAGCATAACTCCAGTAAAGGGTTAGGTACATATTTTAGGCCGCGTGGGCTACATGCTCTCTGTTGCAGTTACTCAACTTTGTCCTTACACTGGGAAATGAGCCACAGACGACAGGGGACAAGTGAGCCTGCCTGTATTCCAGTAAGACGTCATTTATGAACACTCAAGTTTGAATTTCAGATCATTTTCATGCGTCACGAAGTCCTCTTTTGGGGTTTCTCCTAATCATGTGAAAATATAAATGCCGCTTCTAACCACGGGCTACACAGAAACAGGTCTGTGGGCAGGTCTGGCCCGTAGACTGTCACCCCGGGTCTAGTTGCAGCCCTGTACCCCTGGCATTTCCCTCTTATCCCCCAGGCTGAACACCCCTAAGCTGAAAACCTGAAACCCAAAGTGCTTTGAAATCCAAAATGTTTTGAGTCAGGCTGGCAAAGCAATTTTGAAGCATTTCAAACTTTCAGATTAGGAATGCTCTGCCTGTACAAATGTATGCAAATATTCCAAAACCTGACACATTTCTGGTCGCAAGCATTTTGGATAAGGGTATTCACCCTGTAACTTTGGATACTACGTCCGTCTTTGCACCCAGCACAGATACATATAGGTGCGTAATATCCATCTGTTAGTGAAAGGATATCCCAACAAGCCAACCTCCAAAACGAAAATTGCTCAAAAGCAGAGAGCAGGTTTCTGCATGTCTTGCTTCCTTAAGAAAGCTGGCTGACTTCTGGTCTCTTATGAACTCCGAAACTTCCAGACATAACGAGCTTGGTGGGGCGTCACTGAACCAGGCTCTGGACAAAGTTTATACTACCTGTGCCTATCTTCCAGTGCATGAGAGACTTAAAAATATTCAACAAACAGCAAGGAATGGAGAGTAACCAATGGCACGAATGCTGCGGACGGACACTCTTCACGCCCTGCCTAGAGCTCAAGCTTTTATTGCTTGACCGTGAAGAAGGACAGAAGGTCTTGAGAGAGAGGCAGAGGGCACTCTTGAGGGGCTCAGGGGAACAACCACTGACAGAGCAGCTTGGGAATATTTTAGTATGTTGGTATATTAGCTGTTTATTAGGTCTGCTCCTGTGTGTTTCTGTTTTCTTAATCTTGTAGACTGGAAGAGGTGAGCCATGGGCACACAGGCTGCTGAGGCCTCATCCTTAACTGGCTTCCTCCCTCGTCAGCTCAGGTGTTTTGGGGCTCCCCATGAAAGCCCTCCTCCACGCAGCAAGGAGCGGGTAGGGAAGGAGAAAACGAAGCAGACAAAGGCCAGCCTCCCTGTCTGAATCACCTTTAGGTTAGATCTCTGCCATTTTCCTTTGTCTTTTAACACCTTTGTTCTCCACCTACCTCTGAGAGGTATCTCCTTCTGAGCTTCATTTATGTCTAACCTGAAGTCATTTACCACTGACACTTGCTCTGTGCAAATCATTTTTCATGCACATCTTCCTTAATCCTCACAACTCAAGGTAACAGACAAGTGGCCAAGAAACTGTCCAAGGACACATACCCAGGACGTGGTATTCTAACCCAGGACTGCCCAATTCCAGAGTTCAGGGGCTTAATCACAACGCTAGTCACTGGTCAACGTAAATCATTGACCAGAATGATAGATTTTACAATATTCAGCTACAGAGCCTGGTGACTCATCACTTTTTCTAGCTGGTAAACCTGCCTTGCGCTTTGGTTGGATTTGTGCCTGGGGATCTTACCCAGAGACTTGAACACTGTGGTCCTCTCACAGTGGGCTGACTTCACTCCATTTATCACTTCTCCCAGCTCAGCGAAGATCTCAGCCTGTGGAACAAACGCACACTGGACCAGGTCCGAAGCAAAGTTTGCTCAGGGTTGGCTTCTGCAGCTAACATGGAGCATACCAGAAATGGACAAGGGCCAGACTTGATTAAAAAAAAATAAAGACCTGCTAATATCAGGAAGATGCCTTTTTGGCTAGCCTCTACCTTTTTGATGCCATGTATGCAGAGATCCAAGTTTGTACCTACAGGGCGGGCTGCCAGGTCCCTGTGTCAAGTGGTGAAGCAGGCATATTCCCATGTGAACATGCGTTTTTAGAAGCTCTCTTCTTGCTTCTGTGCCCTGATTACAAGGGGAGAAGGCAGTCTAGGTGGCCAACCGCAGTTCTACTGTGCTGGCCACAGGGAACGGTTTCCGGGCCCCAGCGGCTCTCTCCCGTCTCCCAACCCCGCTGCCTCCGAGCACAGCACAATGGAAAAATCCGTCAAGCTTCTCCTTCTAGGTAGAGTGGAGCGGAAGATGCGTGTCGTTGCCATAATGGCTACATTTTTCTGGGATGGGGTTAAAAAGGGTTGCAAGAGGTTGAGGAGCTTCTGCCCGCCAGGACAGGGGACGTCTGAGGTCTGTAGGAGGCCCAACTGCAGGGAAGCTAGTGAAACCCTGGGCTCCAGGGGGGCCAACCAGGCAGAGGCCTGATGGATGAGGGGACGCTCACCCCCGACAACAGCACGTCTCCTGACTCTTTCAGGGCAGCCTCTCGGGAGTCCACGTACAGCACCGCCTGCTCCATGAGCTCGTCATCCAGTTCTCGCCAGTCCGGTCTGCTGGCTCCAACCGCTGCAAGGCAGCAAAACGGAGCCTCAGCCCAGAAGAGTCCCAGGGGACGCTAACAGGGCCAAGACACAGGCAAAATGCAAGCCAAGGGCATGTGGGGATAATCAGCTTAGGAGGACCACCTCATTCCCTGAGCAAAGCCCCGCCCCGTCTATGGGCCTGAAGACTCATTAAAGATAACACCTTCCACTTTTTCCTTTGTGTTTCATATTCTAACTCATTCTTAGAAGATTTTGAGGTCACTTAGCATCATTTATTGGGCACTTGCTGTCTGTGGGATGTTTTGCCCATACTACCTACAGTCCTCACGACATATCCGTATCTGATCCAACTCCCAGTCAATGGATGCACAAGTGGAGGCTCTGAGAAGGAAAGGCACCTGCTAAGGTTTTAGAGAACATCAGCGAATCTGTCTGAGGAAGTGCCCTGGCCTTCACTTAGGCGCCTCTGCTGCTTACTGGGAGTGATTTATACCCCCGCTTTACCTTCTGTCTACCTGCTCGTTCTCCAATCAGTGCCATTCCTCACCCCCAGTGCTTTCCTCCTACCTCATTACAAAAGATCCCAGTGTCATGGTTACAGGCCCCAAGCAACAGAAAACTGGCCTCTTCTTGGCCTTGAGCACACACATCCTCCGCAGAGCCCTTGGCCAAAACAATGAACCCATCACAGCACACCCCCTACCACAAGGACACAGGAAAACGCAGCCAGATGCCAGCAAAAGCCTGCAGGGCCAGGCAGGTAGTGAAGAGGAGCCAGGTCCACAGAGAGGCTGGACTGGAAATAGTGGCAACTTCGGCACACAGAAGAAAGCAGGTCTTCCTGATGGTTTCACTAACCAGGGCCGTGTGTGAACGCATGTCCACTGTTAAAAGATATTCCCAATAGAAGGCAGGGAGGGAGGGATAGAGAGAGAGAGAAGGAGAGAGAGAGAGAGAGACAGAGAGAGAGACAGAGACAGAGAGAGACAGAGAGAGGCAGAGAGAGACACAGAGAGAGAGAATCTATTTGAACGTGTTATTTCTCCATTTCTCTGTGGTCCAAACAAAATATATGTGCTGGCGGGATCCTGCAGGGGGCAGCTAGTCTTTGAAAATGACTAGAAAGCCATATCCAAACGTAAGGCAGCATCTGTAGCCTTCCTGCATCGCCATCCACTTTCCCCAGTTCTTCCTTCTCCTGCTTCCTCCCTCACACTAATTGTCAGAGACAGTGCTACAGAAAGGTCCATCTTGAAGGCTGCTTGTGCGGGGAGCTCTACAGAACAAAAGCTGAAGCTTGTCAGTAAGCCATAAGCTGGTGGGGAAAAAATCCCAGTTTCTCAAGCCAGCCCTGCTCGCTGCATTTCTCTCCCCAGACAGCCACGCTCTCCGAGCCGTCTTGTGCTCAAAGGGTCGCGTGAGGCTGCTCAGGCAGACGGGGTGGGCCAGGCAGCAGCGGAGGAGCCTGGCTCAGACTGGGCCCTGGCTCCCTCAGTGGTGCTAGACGGTGAGGGTCAAGGCTGGGTGCCCAGTGGGGCGACGGGACCAAGCGTGAGGGGCGGTGGACTCTGCCTGCCTCTTGGCTGAGTGTAAACTAAATACCATCTGGTTTTTGGTGTTCTCTGTCGTCTGTGCCTGTGACACGCTTTCCTTAAGTGTACTGAGGCCTCTGAGGACACATAAAGCAATTCTGTCCCTAGGCCAGGGAAACAGAAGACATACGATTCAAAACCAAATCCGAAGTTTCTGCAGAGATCCGAAGTGTGTGACAGGATCCCACGCGAGGGATTTTCTCATGCTAGCTTTGAGGATGGAGGGGCCACAGGGCAGGAAATGGGAAAGGCCCCTAGAAACGGAGGCCTGCCCGAGGAAACGGGGTCCAAGGAAGTGAGGGCTGCCACAACCTCGTGAGCCCAGAAGAGGCTCCCGAACACCAGGGGAGATTATAGTTCGGATAGCACGGGTTCATCCTTGTGGGACTGTGAGCAGGGGGCCCAGCCCACGTCAGACTTCCACCACACAAACTGCGAGGTGATGATGTATTCTTTTAAGCTGGAAAAATGAATCACTTCAGTCTTTCAGAAGATTCAGCCCTGTCCCTGGGAACCCACTTCACTAAGAACTGATTTCCCAAGTGCTTCCAGAAACGGATGCACTGCCCAGAAACAAAGCCCTGACACGCCCTTACCTACGGCATAACACCAGCCCCGCGCAGGCTAGGACGTCAGTTTACTTTGGCTCATCTCTCAGACACGCCATGTTCATTTCACCCCAGGGCCCTCGCGCTTGCCGTTCTGTCTGCCTGGGATGCCTCTGCTCTAGCTCTTGCCATGGCTGGCTCTTCCTACACAGGTTTCTTTAGCAGAGACTCTCGCTGTGTTTACTTGTTAGTTGTCTATTTCCCCTCCTTAGAATGTAACCACCAGGAAAGCAGTGGCCTGATGGAGACCACTACGAAGCAGATCTGCGCAGTATATAAAATTAATCCATTGGCGTTCATGTTTACTTGTGAGTCTGTCCCAGGCCTAGGCCCCTTGTCTGCAGATGGGCAGTGGATTCTTAGTTAGTGAACCTCTGTGAGTCACTGGTCCTGGCTGAGGCCTGTGGTGGCCTGTGACGCCGTGACGCCTCACAGGGCAAGACAAGGCCACAGCTGAGGACACTGGGCTCCAACTCCAACTCACTAAATAGAGACTAGAACTGTGGGCGTCTCACGCCTGAGGTGAATGTCAACCTGGAGCTAAGACAGTCTCCTAATTAGCATAATCTACTGTCTGGGGAAGTCTTTCTACTGACTCCCAAGGTCTTGTTCAGGATCCCATGATTTCCTCAGTATCTCCTTCCTTTGTTTGAAAACCAAATAAATATGGGCCACCCAAGGAAGTTCTCTGTCTCAGCCCCCAGAGAATCTCGAATTCTGCTAGAGGGTTTTGACCTCCTAAGCCCTAAAATCATACCACTTGCCTCTTTTATTTAAGCCTCTGCCATCCCCTCGTTTGGGAGACTGCAGGCCTAATCAGTCCACAGTAGTAGCCTTGACGCTCAATTACAGTGGACGAACCCAGCATGGACAAATCCCAGCACGTGGCTGAGATTCAGTGAAGATTTAAGGACGAATGTGTAACCACTTGGCTTGGCTCCTGCTTACGACCCTGCCCTGTGCACAGAACTCTTAGCTCCCGAGTCCACGTCGTGTGCTTGTAACTGAAACACTGGGTACTGACACCATCTTCAGATCCTCTAGCCTTTGCCTGCTCTGCTCACCAAAGCCAGCCTCATTATTGGAAGATAATATCAAGAACTGTCCAAGAGCTTGGGCTCTGAGGACAGACTGCCTCCACTCTCATCCAAGCTCTGATACCAAGGACCTTCGCTTTGGGGAAAGGTACTTAATCTCCCCATGCTCTGGTTTACCAATCTATAAAATGGGGGCCGTGATACGTAAAGGTCCTAATCACAAGGTCCTTATCAAGATTAAATGACATAATGTGTGTCGGGAATTTAGCACAGTACCCGTAATAGAAGTAGTGGTTCTTTCTGTAAGGCCCTGAGGCCATCTGCAAATCTGAGGCCCAGGTACACTCATGTTTAAATTCCCTACTCCTCCTTCCTCAGCCTAGCATACATATTCAAAAGCATGCACATATCACATTCAGTGTCTTTTGTACTGTAATGTTTTGGGAAAAGTTTGACAGTTGTAAGTGTTAAAACAAATGACTCACTAGGGCTTTGGGATCTACACCTCATCACACCTAAGAACGGCGCTGTGATTGGCTGTTTGTCATTATGGTACACTTTACAGAACATGCGTTCCTGAAATACTCAGCAGTTTCAGGTTTGTAGTCTCCTTGTCATATTGTGGGATACAGTTTTCACAGACCACACTTTTCTGAGCCCTTATAAAGCTGGAACATTCTGCGTAAAGAGGAAACCAGCTCTGCAGACGTGGGCCCTGCATCTGCTGAGTCTAGGGAGGAGTCTGGCCACCCCTCACCCATGGCTCCTGGAGCCTCTCTACTTACCATTGATGTGGGCCCCTGGCTTCACCCACGCACCAAATAAAATGGGCTCTGTTGCCATGGTGACTGTGATAATCACATCAGCACCCGTCACAGCCTCTTGCACTGACGAACAGACCCGTACCTCTCCTTGAACTGTGTTGGCAAACTTCTCTGCATTTTCTGTGGTGCGGTTCCATATCCTCACCTTCAATGGGGACAGCAAGAGGGACACTCATGCCATTTCTTGGCTATTTACGTTACACTGAGTCCAGGGGTACCGAAGGAAAGTTGGACCACTCTGGGGTAGGGTCTGTGATTATCTAAATCACTCTCTACAGAGAACTGATATTTGATCAAGGACACACGATTAACCTGAGCAGAAACTGGCCAGATAATTAAAAATGAGATTTTCTCCAGATTTCTCCTTTAAAGGAGGGACTTTTTTCTTTTCGGTTTTAGGCCAAGACATACAGCCTCAGTGGCTTAATAGCCACTATGTAACTTCATGATCAGCAGAGCAAGTTCCGCAGCCAGGCAGACTTGGAATCAATCATCGCTTTCTCATTTACTGCTCCTGAAAGGACTTCACCTCATTCAGCCTTAATTTTCAAGTCTGCAAAATGGAAAGACAGCTGGGTAATGTCAGCATGGAATTCACACTTTATGCTTTAGATTCTGCAGAGGAGTCATGGGACTGAGGACACAGCTCGGTGGTAGAGTATTTGCCTAGCATGGACAAGACCTTGTGCTCAACCCTCAGTACCACAGCAAAAAGAACAAGAGTCACTGTGATCATGGGTACAAGGATCACAGGAAGGGTTATTTACGGCAGTGGTTTGCATGGAATGTAGCTGGGATCTATACTTGGGAATGCAGTTGATCTCTGAAGGGTGTGTAAAGACTGAAGATCAAAAGCATTTGAAGGTGAATGGTATGGTGCATGAAAAGGCCAAGAGCAGAGCTACAGCCACAGCCGTGGAAGACACGGGTCGGGGGGAGAGGGTTGTCATCTGCCTTGCCAGCACCTGAGGACTCACTAGCTTGTTAACAGATTTCAGTGTTTGGGTCAGGGTTGTCACTGTTAAACCGAAAATAATGTCTAAAGAACCTCTTATAAGAAAATATAATAAATATAGAAAGTTCAACAACTAAGGTAAAACTGATACATTATGCCAAGACATAAGTGACTGGCTAACCACACCACATTTCTTGATAGGAAACTATACAAATATTATGCAAAATTAGGTAACCCGGAAAAGCAATGCTAGAACATGTAAAGAAAGTGGGATGTACAATTGTGCATCTAACATGATCTGACAGGATCAAACCTCTGTTATAAAAAGCTGATGAGTGGAGACTAGAAACCATTAACTGCCTGTCTTTGAAAACAGATATAAGGGTATTTTATTTTCTGCCTTGTAGTCTACATTTCCCCAAGCAGAGATATTATTCTATCATAAAAATTTATATGCTAAATCTGTTCCACCACTCATATACGTTCAGAAGATGAAATAAAAATAGCACCGAATATTCTGAGCAGGAAGCACGAGCCAGGACAGGGGACCCGGGCCAATGTGCGACTGCAGGAGCGGGTGCCAGGGCCTCTTGCTGGCCAGGCCCCGTCCCTAGTTCCTGGATGTATGGCCCTGAATACCTGAAGCCTGCCAGAGTCTCTCAAGAGAAGCACAGAGAAAAGCTGAAAGGACAGCTCACGTAGAATGAATAAAACAGCACCCTTCAACTAACGAGCGGAATTTCCCTGTCCTCAGGCACAGGGACGGTGAACTGAGGAACCGAAAAGAGGTGATCAGACTTCCAGCTCTTCACCTCCAGCACCTCCAATAAGGTTTGTAGGACACCCTTAAGAATTGTCTGGTTGGATTCTTTACCAGATTATTTCAGATTAACCCGTGCTGCAGGGAAGGAGAACAGACGAGGTTGCTGGCCATCCAGTCCCCTGCTCTCCTTTCGAGCCCCAGACCCCAACTCACCTCCTTAAAGGAGAACTGCTCTGTGAAGATCTCATAGTGGCTGTAGGCCTGGACACCAGCCCCAAGGATGCACAGCACATCACCGCCAGGAGGTTTCAGAAACTATTTGAGAGAAGTGAGGGAGAAAGGCTCAAGGGAGGCACTGGCCAGCAGGTGAAAACAAACACTGCAGTTTAAATGTCAGGAGGCTTCTGCCATTTCTTCAACTCCCTCAAGAGCTTGTGGGCGATCAAGGAGATGTACTGTGTGTCTCAGTTTCCTCTGCAGAGTGGGGAGGGAAAGAAGGTGCCTTCACTGAGCACCTACTATATGCCAGTGCTTTACCCTCACACGAGGACACTATGAGCTGGAGATTCCCATTGTTCTCCTCTTACAGTGAAGGAGACTGAATTCCAGAGAGGTTAAGTAACTTCTCAGAGTTCAACAACCACAGTACAGTACTAAGTACCCCAGTGGCGCTCCAGAACCACAGTCCGTAATCTGCACCTGTGTCCTTTCTGCCACGCCACATCACCTCGGGGGTCTGCCACGCAACTCCTACTTTCCAGAGCCCTGAGACGCTTCTAAGAGCTCCCTGGAATCCTTGAACCCTTGCAACATTTTCTGGGTCCACCCTTTCTGGTTCTTTCACTTCTCTGAAAGGAAAGTACAGAACTGGCTTTTGTGACACCTCCTGAGGGTATACGTGTATCTGTCTGAGAGCAGGATGTTGTGACCAACTTCGACCAAGTGTCACCTCTCCAGTGAAGTCTTTGGGCCTTGCAGTTAGAATTCACCACTCCCGGACACTTGTTTATGGATTTATTTTCCTGTGCGGTCTTCAAGCCCCTGAGAACCCCGGTGGTATTATCTGCATAGAAATAGTGCACAGCTGTTACAAAGCACACGAAGTAGAGCAAAGCTTCTCAGTCTTGGAGAATCTGAGGGTTGAGCTGGCTCACTCTTGCTGGGGAGGGAGGCTGTCCCGTTCAGTACAGAACACTCTACAGCACCACGGTTCTGTCCATTTGACACCCGTAGCAATTGTGACAATCAGAAAAGTCTCCCAACAGTGTTAGATATTTCTCTCTCAGATAGGTGGCAAAATCATCCTTGGCTGTGAACAATGAATATAGAGAAATACTCGCTCTCAGAGCATATGTGTTAAATAACTGTCTTTTCTCTATTTCATTTAGTAAAATGTTAGCTCCTTATATCTGCCTTGCTTTGCTGTTCCTTTCCTTTTCAGTTCTGGGAATAGAACTCAGGACTTTTTTTTGTTTGTTGGTTTGTTTTTTGTTGTTTTGTTTTTTCTCCGGTACCAGGAATCAAACTCACAACCTTGCGCTTGCCAGGCAGGCGCTGTGCCGCTGAGCTAAATCCCCAGCCCTTGAACTCAGGACTTTTACACTGAGCTACATCCCTGCCATTTTTTATTTTTAGACAGACTTTCATAAAGCTCCCAAGTAGCCCAGGCTATACTTGTACTTGCAATCTTCCTGCTTCAGCCTCCCAGAGTGTTGCCTGGCATTGCCTATTAATTACTAGCCCCAAAAAAAAGAGTCTAAGGGGATGTTCAACTCTCCTTAGCTGCAGGAGAGATATCATTCTTCACCAAAAAGTACAGTTTAAAGACTCGGGTTTGAGAGTTTTCAAAATAACATCTATAAGCAATCTTATGCTCTTTTCCAATAATGAGAACTGATTTTTTTTTTTTCTTTTTTGAGTGATTTTTCTTTTCTTTTCTTTTTTGAGTGATTTTTCTTTTCTTTTTTGAGTGACTTTTCTTTAACTGGGCCTTTGCACAGGTTCTTTCTGCTGCCTGGAATGATTTCCTTCTCCTCGTGAGTAATTCCTATTATTCATTAAATTTCAGCTCAAAGATCTATCACACAGTCAAAGCCTTCCTGAATCTGACAGACTAGATCTGGATCCTGTGTTCTACACTCGCACAGAACCTGTCAGAGTTGTAACTCACATGTACTGTGTGATCTCTGGATGAATATCTTGTCTCCTGCACTGGACCCTCTCTTCCATTGTGACAGGCACTGTGTCTGGCTGTGCGCACCATTCTTTGCTTCACCCCAATCACAGGGCCTGGCACTGGTACCATTTAAGTATTTCATATGAATAGTTGTTGAATAAATGCATGACAGGGATAACACAGATACATGTTATCGCCTTGAGAAAGCACGTCACAGTGCTCAACGAAGGTTATACGAAAGCCAAACACAAAGAAGTTACTTCGTCCTTCAGACCCAGAGTCTCCTATACTTCTTACCTCCTCCCTGAAGACCTGAATGAAAGGGCAGCGGTGGACATGAAAACATCGCCCGCAACAGACCCTTTGTTCCTTAGTGAACAGCCCGTCTGAGCCGCTGGGAACAAAGCTGAGTTTCAGCCTAAGCTTCAAAGGGTCAAACCAGAGTTTCCTGCCTCTTCTGGGAGCACAGATTTTTATTGATGTAACCAAACACAGGGTTACTGAGGGTGGGGTCTCCAACAGCGTGATTCCCAAACCTGACTGATCGCCAGAAGGAAAAAAAAAAAAGGGACAGTCCTGCACCCCACCACTGAGCAATTTTGATTCAGTCATTCCAGGAATCTGACTTAAGACAATTTCCTGGTGATGTTGCTGAATAGTTTCAGCTGGACACTACAGATCTGAGACTTCTTAGAAGGCCATGCAGCCTCAAAAGAACCCAGAGGTACTTGGGTATACAAGGATGATCACAAAATACAGTGAATGTTTGAATATGTTATTACAGTAAGACACATTGCTATTAATTCCCCCTCACTTTGAACACATCCCATTGTTTGTATCACTTACTGAAGCAGTTCTGGAAAATCTCTTTGCATGTCGTTGCTGGGTGTGATCAAAAATACAGTGAATGCTGTTGCTGAGTGCCATCCAGTGAAAAGGCAAGCTCACGAAAACAGTATGGTCCTTATCCCCCTTCTTCAGCAGTCTGGTACCGTGCAACTCCTGCCTCTTCCCCAAAGTCAAAATCACCAAGAAAGGTAAGCGCTTGGAATCAACTCAGAGCCCCGAGGCAACCACACAATACGACATGAAAAAGGACTTCCAGGACTGCTTCGGAAAGCAGCTCGAGGAACGGAGTGTGTCTGAAGTAAGAGGCAGCATTTTGAGGGGAATTAATGGCAATGTGTCTTCTACTGTAATCACTTTGTAAAAATTTAAACACATACTGTATTTTTGACCCTCAGGAAACCGTCCTCTCCGTTTCACTCTGTGTAAAGTGAGTGCAGTAATACTTGCTCCGCCTTCCTCCCAGAAACTCAAAGCCCAGGGACTGAGTCGGAAACTGCTGGGACAAAGACCAAAGTCCTTTACAAATGTAAGGTAATACAAGAGCCATTCTGTCTCTAAATCACTGGCAAACACATCTCAGGGAGGCTCTTGATTATTTCAACCTGAGTTGGCTCCAGACAGGGTTAAAAACAAGTCCATCAAGCTCCATACCATAATCTACTGCCTTCATATGTAATTATCAGATTAATCCTTGTGTCCTTCCCCCCCACATCATAAATTCAGAAAACCTTAAGATAAAATCTGAACACCTGATCTTGACTGCTCCAACCCTGCACCGTAATACCACACTTCCTACACGCTTAGGAAAACCACCAATCCAAGACCTTGTCCTCCATTCAGCGGAAAGATTCCAGACTGCAGCTTTCCCATGGACACCTACTTTCTGTGCTCCACTCTAACACCTCTATAAATCTGGGGTTTTTGTGGGATGCCTCAACTTGCTTAGAAACATCACCACTCCCACCACGCGGTGTCCTGACGGAGATTCCTCCACATTTTCACAGCTCACAGGACACCTTCAGTACTTACGCAAAAGTCACCCTCTCAGGTGATTTCCTGGGTAATTTAAGAATCACCCCCTCCCTAATACTCTTGATTCTGCATCATTTTCATCTTTCTAACTTACCATGAGGGTTTATTTTTAAGCAAACTCTAAACACATTATATTATTTACGAATGAACAAATACTAATTATGCAATAATTATTTGTTAACATTGTCTACTGCTATGTAACACATTATTAAACGCAAAAGCCTTTTTTATTGTTTATCTTTTAAGCAAATCCTAGTCTGTGTTTCGCTTTTTAATTTTATCATCGGTATCACCTATGTGCACTGCTCTAGCTTGTTCACTGCTGGATTCTCAGAAGTTAGAACACCTGACACACTTGCTAGGCGCTCGGTCAACGAGAGCTGAATGGAAACAGGTATGACATGGATCTCCTCTGCTACGCCGTTCTCCGCGTGAGTGTCGGTGGCTCGCCGGGAAGCATGCTGACTTGGCAGGACTAAGGTAGCGGGGTGAGAATGCAGTATTCAGGGTCAAACAGACCAAGTTACAAACTCGTGTTCTATCATTTCTTAGCTGTGTTATCCTGGGCCCTCAATAACCACTCTGAGCCATAATGCCTCTTCCTGGCAAAGGAAGACAACCATATCTACTCTGCAAAGTGCAAGGAAGGACTGGGAGTAATGCACGTGCGGTGTTTGGAATCAGGCCATGCACACTAAATGGTAGCGAGTTATTTCACTAATCGCCACGCTTACCTGTCTTGCGCGCACCTGGGATTCTAGCTATGTCCCAGGGAGGACCAGAACATGTCCCCATTCTCGTAGTCCCTCAAGATCTGAGACACCCAGCCCCCCCCACGGGCCTGCTGCAATTCCACAGCCTGTCAGTTATCTTACCTTGGTGGCAATGGCAGATACTGCGGCCGTTCTTTTGGCAGTTATGACATTTCCATCCATGACCTTGGGGGAAGAAGTGACAGTGAGCACAGGTCACTTCTATCTATTACTTAGACAAAGGAAGCAATCCTAAAACAGTGCCCCTAGGAAGTTATATAGTATTCTACAGAGAGCATGCCCGGGTGCAGACCTGGGTCTAATCCTTCCACTTACGAGGTATGCAACTTTAAATGAACTGCTTAATCTCTAAGCCCGGGTTTCTTTCCTCATTTGTAAAAACACAGATAAGGCCAATCATTCATCGGGTTACTGAGAAGATTAAATGCACTGGCATATGGGAAAACATCTAGTACACAGTGAGTTCTCAAGAACTGCCTGTTTTGCTTCTTGCCTTGAGAGTCTCAAAAGCCCAAATTAAGGAAGGACGTGAGGAATGTGATTGTCATCTCACATGGGGGCAAGGGCCTGAAACTCCACCTCAGTGGTCCTCAACTCAGGCTGCACACGGGGAGCTTTGTGAAGAGACCGTTCCCGCATACCACCTCCCCATTTACTGAATCTGAACCTCGGGTAGGGGTGTAGCTCAGGGGCACAGCGCATGCCTAGCACGCATGAGGCCCTAGCTTCAATCCCTAGTGCCACACAGACGCAAAACCAGAAACAAATTACTGCGTCTCCAGGGGCAGGGCCCAGACATCCTTGCTCCTAGAAGCTCCCAGGTGATTCTGGCGCACAGCAAGAGCTGAGAATAACGCCTACTTAATAATAACAACAACCACCCTTTGCACTGATCTCCATTTTAAGAGTATCGTCCTCAACCAACGCCCCAAAAGTACGCCTCATTATCCCCATTTTACAATGAGGAGTTCCTGAGAAGGTGAAGAAAGGCTCTCAGGTCCTGTCATATTTCTTCAAAGGCTCACTCCCACTTTCCCGGGGAACTGCTGTTGTAAACAGCATAGATACCACTGCCACTGGGTAAGCGTAAGTTTGCAAAAATAAGACACTCTTCTCAGAGGAATGATGCACAGCCAGATTTCACGGGGAAGCAGAACCTCAGGGGAGAAGGAAATTCTAAGAGCTGACTTGGAAGACAATTAAAAGCATATGCTCCAGTCACCTCGACCTAGGAGCAGTTCGTGAGTCTTTAACCAGCTGTGGGACCACCTGCAATGTGACTCTACTAATCTGAGAAATTGGGGGAAAGCAGAGGGAACAAAAGGTCCCATGGAGGAATTATTCAGCATTGAATATGATCAATTTCCTGCCTAGCAGATGATAAACCTGCAATAAGTGAGAGTTTAAAAAGCAGTAGAGGGGCTGGGGATTTAGCTCAGCGGCACAGCGCCTGCCTGGCAAGCGCAAGGTCGTGAGTTCGATTCCCGGTACCGGAAACAAACAAACAAAAAAACAGCAGTAGAGCATAGTCTTCGGATAGGACCCAGGCTCGGCCTGGGGGTGTTTGAGGTCCAACCATGATACTTACTGGCTACACAGATCTGGATAAGTTGGGCACAGCTGGCCTATGACTCAGTTTCCTCACTTGTGAAGTGGGGGTGATACTATTACCTACTTGGCAGGTAGGTTTAATTATTAAGAGGGGTAACACACGCTAAGTGTTTAGAGTAGTGTAGTACACATAAAGAGACAATACATAGTCATTGCTACTCTTTGACAGTGATTAGATGCTGAAAGAGATCACTGCCCATCCTTCAGAGATCTGACTAGATAACACCCTTTCCATGTTGACAAGGGGTCAGTAAATACATGTTTCCTCAGCTTCTGGTTTAGTTCAAGCCACGTGGTCAGGGTATATGAGCGCAGGACGAACATGCACGAAAATGATGAGATTATTTCCACAGTCACACTCGAAGGGGCAGCAGGCTGGGGCGCACCCACAGGCAACCCTAGAAACGGACGCGCTGTCGCAGATAACCTTCCCTGCCCCTACCTTCCGTCACCTGTAGGGGGGCGTCCCCTGTCACACCCACGCGCGCACACGCTCACGGAGAACTACCTTCTCGGCCGCGCCCTCCACCCCGGGACAGGGAGCTGCTCACCGCCAGCAGGGAGCCGTTGCTGGGCTCAAAGAGCAGCACGATGGCCTGGTGCGAGGGCGCGGCGGAGCTGGCGTCGTGGCCCTCGTAGAAGGTGACCAGCTTGGTGGTCAGGGCGTCCTCCGCCGCGCTGTAGACGGGCATGACTCCCAGGAAGCTGCAGGGAGAGAGGGCAGCGTCACCCCGCCCAGGCGGGCGCGTCCTGGGCCGTCCTCGCCTCCCCGGGCGCTGCTCGCAGCCGCACCGCGC